TGGAGTAACACAATCCAGTGGATTTAAATTGATACTGCAGAGCAGAAGTCAGCCACCAGTGATCACTGGCATTCAATCCCTGAACTGTAGAGGAGTTTCAAAATTATGAACTCAACATGTAAATGAGACAGAACCCAGTGCAAAGGAACCTTCACAGTCTCCAATTTACTCCAAGTAGCCAAGTAACTGTATTTAAAGGGCTGCTTTTTCAAAAACTTCTCTGTTTATTGACTTCTGACCCGATTTCTGTCCCCTAGCGGGGTTGCTCTGCCTAGGGGCACAAACTCCATGAAGAGGAACTTCACCCTATTTAATCACAGGGGGTATAGTTTGCCCTCACCCTGCTATCTCAAGAAAGCAGCAGAGGGATCAATTCAGAAGCCACAGATGCTGGGGGATCTGCTGGAAGCCAGAAGGCATGAAGGTCCTATTACTGAGTGGAAAGGAAATGCTGGCCAATGACAGGAGGCATTTCTTCCTCAGGCTTCTTTTAGTTTGGCTCTCAGCTTGGGAAGCAAGGGGCCAACCCCAATCTCAAACTCCAATTGCCATGTGGCAATGCTATTGCTAGAACAATTGCACCGTATCTCAATTCTTGAATATGAATGACTGCCACACAGCAAAACCTTTTTTTTTCTTTCTTTTTTTTAAAAAGAAGATGGAAGAAAAATGAAACAAACTAGAGAGAGGCAAGAATGACTACCCACCGCCTTCCTTTGGGAGCCTTGTAAGCACTTAAGGTTTTCATCATTTTGCATGTCTTACATTTACAACGCTGTCACTTGTTCTGGCCTTTAACAACCATCACCTTGGCATCAAGGCTGAGTGGTAACAACATACATTTACATAGCACCTTTCACCCCGAAGACCTGCAAAGCAGAGTAATTCTGTGGCAGTAGATATAGGATTGTTTCATCCACTGTTAAAATGCAGCCAGCTCAGAATTGAAATGTAGCAGGCATTCTGCACCAGAAACTGCTTCTAGGAGGAAGTGAGACTACTTTTCCAACTGACACCAGAGAGGGAATTTTAGATAGGCAGAATGTAATTACTCCAGCTGGAGTCTGGCCAGGATTCCTGGGCCTAAGACCCCTACCCTTATGTAAAGTGTCACAGAATTTCCAATGACTGCAAGTGTGAGGACCTCAGCTTTACATCTCGGATACGAGCCGTCACTGATTCTTCAAAGCTAATTGCTTATGAACGACCCACACAGCAAAGACAAAATCAAACCTTGCTGTTGAAAATAACTTCAGTCGCAGAGACTGAAAATATGATTTAAAATAAACCGAAAAATCACTCTGTCCAGAGTTTCTTTTGACACTGGGGGACAGGTGGAGGTCTGTGTCTTGTACTGGTAGCATGCCATTCAAAAAACAACTGGGAATTTTGGATGGGCAAACAAAATCCTTTAAAATGCAGCATCCCCAAAACACAAACCTAATGTATCAACCATATCCCAGAGTCTCCAGAGTTTTGCTATATGCAGTTGCCAGCTGGTTCCATTTATTTTTCTTCATTTTTCATATTTTGACTAATAAATAATTAATCCATGGCTTTGTAACTTGCTGACAATACAAACGCATCGTATTGCAATGCAGTGTAACATGTCACTCAGATGAGACACCGTGCACTATGCAAAAAAAGTGATGTGCAGAAGAGTTTTGAAAGTAGGCTAAATTATCAAGGTCACTAGTTAAAGCTAGAGCCAACTCAGGGAAAAATTATCTTGAACTGTCCCTTTCAGGTCCTTAAATCTGGTGTTAGTTCCAGGGCTGGGTTTTTCCAATTATAACAGTTTCCTTTGTGTGTCTAACACAGTTAAGAGCTACACAAAGTTGGTAGCCTTCGGCACAACTGGGGTTTTTTTTGGTTTTTTTTTAAGAGAGAATACTCTGCTAAATACAAATTCATCTAGCTTTGCTGAGTATTGTTATTTATACAGTGCCAGAAGTGAACTTGGTCCTTTACAAATATGTAAGAAGACAGTTCATTGCCTCAGATAGTTTACAATCTGAGAGGAATGGGGTGCCAATGAACCCTGGCCCCCTGATGCTGGGCATTTAGGGGATTTTCTGCGAATGTGAGATTGGAGAACTTGAATCCTGGTTGGTGAAAATTTTTCCCTTTTGTTCTTATCCATATTTTGAAGAGAGGAAGATGGAAGCTGGGTATAGGTTTTAAGGAGAAAGTCAAAAGTTTAAAAGCTATATGTGGCTGGATAGGGCAAAAACTGACCAGGGAGAAGTGAAGTTGTTTGGAAAGAAAGGGGGCAGAATTCAAAGGCGAGAGAATGAACTTAGAGGGGGAACAGTCTCAGAACTGCCTGCAGAGGTGCTCAAAAGCACAGGAACAGGAATGGAAGTAGAGAACGCGGACTGAGCGGAGAGGCGGGGGATTAGAGTGATGAACAAAGCAGTTTTAGAAAAGAGCAGAGAATCTAGTAACAGAACAGAGGGTAAAGCTGAAAGTAGAAACCATGAAGCTGAAAGACAGGAGCAAAGTCAGGGAAAGGAACATCAGAAAAACGAGAGTATTTAATAGACTGGAAATCAGAAAAGGAATTACAAGGTGGACTTGAATGAATGATGAACTCTTAATAATCAGCAGTCAGAGAGGAAATTCAGAGATAAAAAATCAGTAAGCTCTTCGGTGATGACTAGACCAAGAAAGTGACCAAGATGGTGTGCAGGAAATCAAGCAAAAGAAGTAAATGAGATGACTCGAGAGGCAGCAGAATCAGAAAAATTGAAGTGGAAATTCAAGTTGCCCAGGATAAAAAGTAACAGACTGGGCTGAGAAGAAGAAAGAGCAAACCATCAACATCAGGTGAAATGGGGGAAGGGGAGGCTGCAACAATAGACTATTCCACTTCGAAGGAGATGAAGTGAAGAGCTGGATGGAGTGGACTTCAATGGGGGCAAAGGAACAGCAAGTGAAGGGCTGAAACTCACCAGAGGTTGAAAAGTTTTGGTTGCCAAAACCACCTCCTCCCTTTCACATACACCCATGACCTGGTGGTTAACTTGGACTCTGCCTGGTTCCCTCACATTCAGGCTAGGCCAAAGCTTGTCACTTTTTCTCCACAATTTCTAAGATGCGATCCTTCCTTTTGGTACAATCCGTAAGAATTCTCAGCCAAGCCCCAGCTTGGCCACTGTATCCTCCTCCTCTCTGGTTCACCTGAACATTCACGTTGCCCTCCTCTAATCCACACAAAGGGCAGGTGCCAAGATCATCTTCCTAGCCTGTTGATCTATACAACATCACCTACTCTTTCAATCTTCCCATTGGATCTCCTTGCATCAAGTCCAAGCCTCTTCTCATCAGCTTCAGGGTTTTTGGCAAATCTCACCCTCCCTACTTAACTGCTTCTTGTCATCCCTTTTATCCTACTTCTCCAATAATACTAGCTTTGAATGGCCATTGTCCACTACCCCCCAAAAGCTGACTCAAAACTAATCTGTAAGGCCTCTCTTCGTTTGATGACCTCCTCAAGACTTACTTCTGCTTTGATCCCCAAAAGAAAGAAGGCTAGATCGTGAGGTGATGTGGAGAAATTATCATTATTCTTTAAAAAAAAAAAAGGCAAAAAAACTTTCAACATGATTTGGAGTCATCAAGCTGTGCACATAGGTAGCCTCTATGATTCTTTCTACTGTTCCTCCCGCCACCAACAACCTACACTCCCTCCTAGAATTTTAGCCTCATTTGCGACATCATATCTTAAATCAGATTTAAGATCACTGGGGTGGGAGGGAGTGTTATTTTTCCTGTTTTTTTTTTTTTAAATAAAACAGCACCTAGTACAATGGTCCCTGATACTCACTGGTCCTGCTTGGCTTTGGACACGACTGCAATACAAATAATACCTCCCTCCCCCAATGTTGGCTCATACCATAAGACAGTAAAGCACTGGTTTGAATTTACCTGTGGTAATGGTGCGCATGAGGAGTGCAGGGTGGGAAAGTACTCTACAATTCTTTCCAGTTCTCATTTCCCATTAGTCCTGATCTACTACATGTTGCTGTCTCAGTTCTGAGCCTCTCTTGACAGCCAGATGACTCTTGGTTTTGTGATGTGTATAAATATCTGCTACTCATTTTCATTTATGTTTTGAAGCAAGGACCTCAGAGATGAAAGTCTGGTAGTATTTCACTCAGCCCGCTTCTTTTTCTGTGCATGTGTGCATCTATTTACCAGTAGAACATCTCATTTCACTGAGAACAACTGAGACAAGGCTAATATAAAATTGCAAAGAACCAAAATCTAGGGCATGAGTCAAGAATGGAGCCTACAAACATGCAGATATCACTGAGGAGGGTTCTGAAATGAAGTTCTGCTTTCAAGGAAATGTTCACTCTGCTCAGAACACATCACGTTTCAGCGAACACACATGTAGCAGATATTTCCAAAGCAGAGCTTCTCCAAATATTTTACCTTTTAGACCACTTCACACGGGACACACCCACTCATGGACCACCTCTCCTCCCAATACCCCCTATTTTCTGTGGTATTATCTGTCTCTTTCTAATGATGGATGCTACTGCATTTTTGGATAGTGGAGCATAATTTGAGAATCCCTGTCAGAAGCTGTGAGAACTTTGTGGGCTGAGCGCATCTACTCAAGTTCCCGGTCCACTTTCCAGCCACACACACACACACCCACACACATATATGCCCACACTCTATGAGAAATTTGTTTTCAATTTCTGGAGGAACATACTTTGGATTATAACTCAGAGCCATAATACTAAATCACAAAAATGTGGATTAGGTAGGCCCCCAAATACCACCAGCTCTTCTTCCTATTGAGTCTTACCCTCACTTATTTCCAGTGTAAGTAGTTTGTTTTGACCTCTTCTTTGGTAACCTAACAAACACACACATACACACACTCAACCTGCAAGCCCCATGGAAGCTGGAACCAGTTGCTCTTTTCTACCTCGGACAGCTGTTGCAACACAAAGAACCACTGAAAGGGAGGTTAGTGCTCTGACCTGCACAGGCTCAGGAGTGAGCTGGACAACATGCTGCATGCGCTCGCTGTGGTGATGCCTGGACTCTTCCTCATAGATCACATCCCTCTCGTGCTGGGGAAGGTTCAGGAAGCGGCGGATGGTGCAGAGGTTTTCCCAGAGGGTGCGGTTTTCTGGGCTTGGGTTCTCTTTCCAGCGGAGCAGCTCACACAGCCATCCCTGCACCAAAAGGGTTAGAGTAGTTAACTTGACAAGCACTGATGAAGTAGATGTGAAATGAACCTCAGCTATATTGCAGGCTTTGCTGATGCACTGTCTCAAGTTCTGCTGCCTTGATCTGACATGGAAGCCCCTCTGATTTCCACAGATTTAACTGGGTTTAACTGTGGCAAACCAGTGTTGCAATAAATCAGTGGTTCTCAACGTTTTCCAGACCACAACACCCTCCCACTTAGCAATAGACAGCAAGGGGAGTGGTGTCCTGGTCTGGAAAACGTTGAGAACCACTGATTTATTGCAATATAGCAAGGGGAGGGTGGTTGTGGCCCCTGATATCTGCTAGTGACCAACTCAGAAGTTCTGTCCCCACATAATAAATGAAAACTTTTGATAAAAAATACCAACAAGTAAAAACCCTTTGATTAGGTCTTCTTACGTAACATCCATGCCTCCAATTTAAATCCCAAAATAAAACTTGACCAGGTGTAAATAATCAAATGCCTGTTTTATAAAGGAAGATTAAGCCTTATGGAAAAATCCTATCAAATTTAATAAGAATGAGACAAATAGGGCTCTGTAGGAATTACTCTAAAAATCTGCGGACAATGATATCTGTTGAAGAGATTTCTAAACCAACCCATAGAGTGTAATACTGGATAATGATATCCCTGCTATATACTTCTATAGGTTAGCTTGAAATTCTATAGAAAAGTTAGCACTCTGTTAAATACTATAGGACTTCTCCATAAGGGCCAAGAAGCAAAGGTTTCCAGAGAGTGAAAAGTGTGCACTCCAAGAAAGGAGCTGGTTGTAAAACATAAAGAATACTACAGGGCAAAACGACAAGGCCTATTAATGGCATTCACACACCTGGCCCCGTGTGTGCACTGAGCATGGCTGTCTGTGACCTTGGGCCCCGCGCAGGTTAACTATAACTGCACCTGCAAGGGTCTGAAAGTTGGCTCAGTTCACACCTGCAGGCAGATGTCTCCTACTTAGCACTGAGGATACGATTTCTTTCTTGTGCCTGCGCAAGAGAAGATGCAATGCAAATGATGGAGTATATGAAAATAATGCCGAGGATGCTGTCAACACGGCTTACTGACTCTTGTCAAAATATTTTACCTCGTAGCTTTATAACCTAATCATTTCCAAGCTACAACTCGGCATTTAGACACCATTTTGACAGGCACCTTAAAATACCTAAAAGATAGACAGCTAGATCGATGTTAAATGCAGAGAACAGGAAGTAGCCCAGGTTGCATATTTCCAAGCTGTAACCAAAGAAAACTTAATAGGCAGGTTCATTAAAGGCCCATACAGTCCTTCCTAAAAAAGGAAAGATTTCTATATAACAACTTGTAAGCCAGTGATGACTCCTAATGTGCATTATAAACCCCCCATATAATATCATAAGTGTTGTTTGTCTAACTCTCCACTGTGTCTTCTGCCTTCACCCCCCCTCCCCAAAAAAAGGAAGATTTGATTATCTCCGCTGCATCAGCCAAGACAGCAACACCAGCTGTTCTCATTGTGCAGCCTCTTCCTCACGGCCTACATGTTAATAACCTGATCATTCCATTTTCTCCTTCAACTGCCGGCTGCAGCACAGCGAAGAGACAAAAACCCAGGCCCATCTGCAGCAGCTGTAGGCACTGAACTGTGAAGCCACTGGGGATTTATAAACTAATCTGTAACACAACACTGCCTTGTTTTTACAAGTGAGAGGCCACATTTGTGCAGACCTGATCTTTTCTTGCAATAAACTGGGGGGTGGGGGGGGGAGGAAAGATGAAAACAAGATCTCTAATCATTTGCTTTAAAAAATATATATAAGTATTTTACTTGGTATTTAGCTAAGCTCAGAGTCAGGTGATAGCTGAATTTCTAATACAGTTCCCCTCCATCCAAAATAATACCCAAAACTTTGTGTCTTAAAAAAGAAAAAAAATCTTCCAGACCCACAGTATTTTCTCAGGGGTTTCTTTGTACAAAGGAAACAATTTTTGAAATGGAAAATAAACCATCTGTGGAAAAAATAAGCTCCTATTTCTCCATCCTTTTTACTGATCTGAATAAGTCTCCAACTGGACTCTTTCAAATGTTTCAAGCAGGTATGTTTAACATCTCCCGAGGGATACTGTAGCATGAAGACCAATCATTAAACAGAAAATAAAAACAAAAACCTACATCTGTTAAAAGACAGAGTTCTGAGAGATACAGACCTTAAGGACGAGAACACCTGCTGTTCTGATGGAGGCAGGAGTTGCATTGTGGGAAGCCCCAATTTGAAATGAGACAGGTGACAGCTGAGTGGTACCATCGCCACGGATGAAACTTGGAATGTCTAGCACAACATTCATTGCCGCATTTTGATTTATAGGCACTGTTATAATCTGCGCTCATTACATCACTTAGAACAATGCTACAGGCCTCATTATGGACTGCGTGCTCTCTGCCATTAGTCTTTAAGAAGTATAGGGCTCAATTTGCTCAGCAACATGCGAGGTCCTGACCTTGGAGCTATTAGGGAGAGGATTAGACTGCAGTGTGACCATGTGTGCAGACATGAGCAAACCAAATTAATTTCTGGCAAAGGGAGGCACCAGGCAAAGACCCTGTCCTTAGGACACCTGAGAACTTCTCAATTCCCCAATGGAGATACGCTAATGGCGTGTTTAAGGGAGCCCAGTTCGGAAGGTAAAGCACATTCATGGTATTTAGAGGAATATTAATCCAGTTTCCCACAAAGTATTTGCTTGGCTGATCAGATTAAGGGATGTAGCCTTCAACAGCACCCCCCCACCACAGCAGGCCCCAAGAAATCTGTGATACTTCACAGCTTCAGACATATTGCACCATGTGTACCCAGCTGCTACAATAATTAGCTTATGAATGTATCAGCTGGTTCTGTGATTTTTATAAATAATAACTAACCTACAGAGCAGAAAGATTTTCATGAGCCTAATATTAGCAAGAAATTGCAAGGTGCTCCTAACTCTGAATTGTCATTGTGCTAAATGCCCTGTTTACGCTCATGTTTTATACTACTGGATTTCCCTCTGATGCCATTTATAAATATTTATTTTGCATCAGCAATGGCAATTTATTTGTGTCAGCTTTCTTCACAACAGTCATTATTTCTTTCCCCCTCCCCTTCACCCTCTATTGCATTTGTACACTTATCTACATCAAAACTATTCTTTCACCCGCTCTTCTTCTACCCCTCTATCTATTTATTCAAGCATTCATTCACTCGCCTATCTATTTGGGATTATCTATCCATCTACAGGATCTATTATTAGGTAGTAGCATGGCTAATATATCAGAAAACACTAAGTCATTACCACACACACACACACACACACTCACCCCTTTATAATTGCAAGTAAACCCTCTCTAGGTAAAGATGAGGAGTCTGCACTGGGGTTTTGGATTTCTTTCATTTGAACAATCTTAGCGTGCCATCCAAGGAAGTTTTGCAGTACCAGGCAAAAAGAAAAAAAAAGTGTAAATGTCAAATAAAACAGTGACAGATGACAGTATTCTCTATTGAATAGCACCGTTTCTTCGTGCATGTTCAATGAGAACTCATGAATTATTAATAAACAAATCTCCTTTTTCTGTTAAAAATCTCAAATTGGGCGTTTGGTGGGTTTCGCTGTTGTTTTGGGGGGGGTTGTGGTGGTTGTGTAGTTCTGTGTATGTTACATGGAGCTTTCCGGGAGAATTATTTTCATTTAAGAAATGCTGATACAGGCATTCACAGAGATACAGCAGTTCATGCTGATTTTCATCGGTGGTTTGATTTATTGTGGGGGGGGGGGACAAAAGATTAGAAAAACCAAAAGGGAGATTCTACCCTGTCCTCATTTACCTAACTCACCCAGAATGTCTGAGCTACTTTTCAGTGTGCTTACAAGTGAAGCCAGCTTAAACGAACCTACTGAAAGACTGAAAAATTACACACTCTTCACAGAGATTTCTCATCCCCGAGCTCCTGATGCTGCTGCCTATGCACATGTTGAGTGGTGCTCTACTATGCAAGCAGACCCCTGGATTTCAACGGTGTTACCAAGAGAGTTAGCTACTAGTCAAGGTGAATAAGGATGGCAGAATCTGGCCTTTAATGTCTGCTTCTGAAGTTCTTAAACAGGGCAATGACTTCCATTAAAAATAAGAGGAGGAAAAACACCACAATTTTGTGCCCAGCTCTTGGCTCTATGTTCAGGCACACCCAGTACTTGTGGTTACCAGGGAATTCTGCTAATAACTTCCTTACTTTCACCCCAAAACCTGAACTTGCATTTAGAGCTCTGCCCAATTTATCTTATTAAAAGGAAGTGTAGAGAAGAGCTGGCCTCTATTTTTGCTGTTGTTCCAATCAGAAAGGATGAAGATTTTTTAGGCATTTTATTAGATAAAACAAATAATATCATGCTAATGTCCTATTTTTACTCTCTCTCCTAATCAAATACATTTCCCATAGCAAAACAAAAAAAAACTGCAGGAGGCCAGCCTTTCCTACTGTGTTTTTATGCTATTAAAGGAACAGCCCACTTGCTACACTAAAGCATTTAGGCTTGGTGCACTCGGAATCCCCTCGAGGGATGGGTTAGTTGGTTCAACAAATGTAAGCCCTATTCACTGTCACTTATCATTGATCCCTTTTTAGCAGTTTGACCCTTTTACTTTTGTAATACTTAACATAGCATGGGGGAGGGAGGAGGAGGTTAAGCAAAATGGAAGCCAGGGGTATCAGAGGCAGATAAGACTAGGTTTAAAAAGCTTTAAGAGGGTGCACACAAAGACCCCCATGTTCTATGCAGGCAGAGCCCCACTTGTAGTCAATATAAGAGCTAAGAAAGCTTAGGGGAAAAGTCCAGACTTAGACATATTGGTCTTGAAGCCAGTGGCTACATTCATAGAAGTACGTCTGCTGATGTCCACAATAGAAACAGGCAGCCGGCTGCCCAGCGTAACTTATTTAGACACAGCAT